AATATATATATATATATATATATATTTTGGTGGGGGAAGATCAGCTAAATGGTGCTAAGGAGGCCCAAGGCTCTCTTGGCCATTCTCAGACCAGCCAGCTACTGCAGGGACTGAGGATGTGATGCTGCTTGGACCTTGCTAGTCTTAGGGCACACAGATTGCTCTGGTGGACTTTGGGGTCCTCCAGGGCTGCAGGGGACTCTGTGTGGTGCCAGGGATCTTGGCTTGGCCACATGAAGAGCACGGGCTTTAAACCCTGTCCTATTTCTTCCACCCTTAATGTTGATTTTATTATTTCGTTTCCAAAAATAGTTCCCGTGAAAGAGTTAGGACTCGGAGGGCAGTGGTCAACACCGCAAACACCCGTATTTCTGTTGAACTGTAGCTGCAGATCTCTGCCTTCCCCTGAAACCAAAACCGAGTCTGTTCCTTTGAAACAGCCCATCTGCCAGCAGCATGGCCCCCTTCCCTTGGGGGCTCACATCTGCACTAACATCAGGAGTGGGGTTGCCCCTTCGCTCCTGAACTCGGACGATGGAGGCCTTCCATAAAAGAGGGAAAAAAGGCTGGACGTTCTTTCAGAGTCACTTGCCTTTGGGTTAGTGTTCACCAAGGAGAAAATTGAAGCCCAAGGGGGGATTTTAGCAAGAGGGATGAGTCCATGAAAATGGCTTTGCAGCGGCTTGACTTTTGAAATGGTTATTGTCACGTTTAAGTCACCCTTTCGGCCCCGGGAATGAAGTCGGCAGGTTCTGCTCCTCAGAGGTGAAATGGCAAGCCTTCTGTCTGTCGTCCTGGATTCAGCTGAAATGTATCTTGTGCTGCAGCTAGAGAATAACGGGAGCTTTTTATTTAAGCACGTCTGTTTGTTTATCTTGGGGACCACACCCAGGTATTCTTAGGGGTTACTCCTGGGGTCACTCCTGGCTGACTTTGGGGACCAAGTGGTGTTGGGCATCCATTCTCTGCACGCTCGCATCAAGCCTCACCCACCAGTAAATCCACAAAAAAACCAGGTACGTGGAACTTGTGACTGAAAACTCCAGGTTCAAAGGAATTGGGAATGGATGACCTTCACCCATCTTCCCCTATTTCTGGCAGCTTGGCGATCACACCTACAAGCCACCTCTGGCTGGTGCCAGATAATCTCATCAACGGCCATGATCCAGAGACTACTGTAAATCTCTCGGAAGAGAGCACAAAATGATTTCCCGTAACCATGCGGCCGGACCCGCTCCAGGCTGTTTTATTCTGGGCATCCCGGAGTGGGGCTGGGGTGAGTCCCCTCCCTGCCCCCAAGAAGCCAGCCCCAGCAACTGTAAACCTCCAGAACTCAACCCTGCCATGCTCACGGTTGCTCGGTTGCTCTCCATACACTCAGGCCAAGCCTCATCCACAAGTGAACCTATTCCTGGACCATGCGGCCGTGACACCACTCATATTCTAGGAGTAGCGCACTACATTTGATGGGGTTTAAAGCAGAAGGCAACCAATCTTAGAAGGGCTTAATGGCCCCTGGCTGAAATACAACAATCTTTACACAATTTTCTCTAAGGAAACTTTTTTGAAGCATTTTCAGCATTTTATTCATAACAAGCAATACAAAATAAATTATTTTGGTTGTGTTTTGGGGCAGGGGTTGGGGTTCAGGATGAAAACATCCAAAATGTGGGAAGGTATAATGGTGGTGGGATTGGTGTTTGACTATTAAATGTAATCAAATATTGTGAACTACTTTAAAAGTAAAAAAATTTTAATAAAAAGACTATTGGGGATCAAACACAGTTGGCTGGGTGTCAGGCAAGCACCCACTCGTGTCCATATTTTGAGGAGCATCTATTCACAGAGACAGATGTGGGTGCTGTGCGTTTGTGTCCCCTGTTATGGTCTCACTCATGGACTGGGCGGGCTGGGTTCCCCCTTAGACCTCAGCTTCCTACCCACCGGTCCCACGTCTGCCGGCGCTTGAAGAACACCTTACTTGTCCGCGTTTGCTGTGGACACAGCTATCAGATGCGCGATCTCTTTTCCCCTGTCTTGAAACAGGACATCTACTCTTTGTTGCTCAGAGTAGCACCACCAGCCACAGTCACGACCCTCCTCTGCTGGAGCCTTCAGGTCTGAGGCCCCGGGGGGAGTGGAGAACCTGCTCTGGATAAAAAGCCAGCACAAAGTGCTTTGAAAGGGCAAAAATGAGAAGCTGAGCCTGGTCAGTGTATTAAAGAAGAGTGCAGAACTGTTTCGTCTAGTTGATTAACACGATTGTGGTAGAGCCATGGATTTAAAGGCTAGTTGGATTTTTTTTTTTTTTTTTTGGTTCACACCCGGCGATGCTCAGGGGTTACTCTTGGCTCTGCACTCGGGAGTTACTCCTGGCGGTGCTCAGGGGACCATATGGAATGCTGGGAATCGAATCTGGGTTGACCGCATGCAAGGCAAACGCCCTACCTGCTGTGCTATCGCTCCAGCCCATAGTTGGATTTTTTTTATTATTGTTTTTTTTTATTTCTTATGGGGAGTGGGTAAAGATTGAGTTGGACCCAGCAGTGCTCAGGCGCTACTGCTAGTGGTAATGGAGGCACCATGTGCAGTGCTGGGATTGAACCTGGGTTGGCTGCGTGTAAGAAGGGCACCCATACCCATGACCTGTAGCTCCGGTCCAGGCATTATTTATTTTAGGTAGGGTAGGTTTGGGATTTTTAAACTTTTCCTACTCAAATCCCTTTTTTGTTGCCTGAGAAACGCAACTTGGGTAAGCACTGCCGGGACCACATCGGATTCCTTTTGCATGTAAGAAGAAAGGTGGAAGTTAATAACTAGCAGTTATCCTTCGGGTCTAGGAGAAGGCTGGCCACACCATTAGCCCTCTGTGCACCATTATTCACAAGCTCAAGTCCTCACAGCACTTTACTGCTAAGCTAGATGTAACATAATATTTATTAACACCGTTTTCTGAAATGACATTAAAAAAATTTTTTTTTTAATCAGTGTTCATTGAGCTGGGGAGATAGTATAGCAGGTAGGACACTTACCTTGCACATGGCCAACCCAGGTTCAATCTGCGGCATCCCGTATGGTCTCTCAAGCCACCAGAAGTGATCCCCGAGCTCAGAACCAGTAAGCCCTGAGCACTGCTGGGTGCGACTTAAAAGCAAACCCAACAAACATCAGTATTCAGATGCATACCTCGATTTGGTTCCAATAGGACCCGCAATCAGACACAGCCTTGCAGACCCGGGGCAGTTCTGTCTAAAAGAGCCTCATCACTGTGATTCCCTTTCCAGCTCACACTGAGTGGGGCTCCCTGGGATTTAGCTGCTCCTGCCTTTACCCTGGGCTGCAGGGGGCAGGAAGAAACTCCAGCCTGTGGCATCAGCAGGAGCCTTTTGTATCAGAGGTGCTGCTGATGGGTGGAGGGCTTAGGTGCTGCTTGTCTCTACTGTTTTCTCTTACCAGCTACCCATGAAGGGCGGCTAACTAAAAAATCTAATTTGTTTTTAGTCTTTGTGTCAGGTGGAATTAAAGCGCTTATTTCAGAGACTCTAACGTTAATCACTGGGATGAGGGACCGTGTGTCTTTGGAAAAGATGAAATGGGTGATCAAATACCGGAGTCAACCTGGTGGAGATTCATAAATGATCTCTTATTGTAATCTAGGTTCTCAGCATCCTGAAATTTATGACCCCCCCCCCCCATCTCCCTCCTTGTGTTCATGCTGGTGTTGGTAGTTGCAGTGATGGGGTTCACATGCACCCGTAGCTGTGGTGCCCTCAAGACATGGCACATCTCGGGCCAGAGTGATAACACAGAGGGTAGGGTGTTTGCATTGTAGGCAGCTCACCTGGGTTGCTTCCTCAGCAATCCATGTGGTCCCCCAGCATTGCCAGGAGTAATTCCTGAATGCAGAACCCTGAGCATCGCTGGGTGTAGCAAGGGAATCAATCAAACAAGACATTGCACGACTCATTGAAGTGCTAGCACCTGTGCTGAGCACTGGCAGGGGTCAGTCTTCTTCAGTGGTGGGGCTCTTACAGGTGTGGGCTGTGGTTCTTGCTGGTGGGGGGTGGGCTCACACTTCCTGGCCGTGTTGCTCATTGCCTTCTTGGTTGTGGTGCTCCCCAGCACTATCCCCTCAGCCGCAGTACTTGCTCACCCCAGTGGCAGTATGGACTGAGGTTCCAGGGATCACAGGCAGCAGAGCTTCCGGGAACTATCAGCAGAGCCGTTGGTGCAGACCGCGGTCAGAGGGATCAAACTCTACAAAGTGGATGCTCAAAGTCCCGGAGAAAAGCCAAATGTCGTGAGGGCCCAAAATATGTGGAAAAAAAAAACAAATGGAAAATTAAAAAGTACCTAGAAAAGGGTCTAGAGAGTATCACCCAGTGGGCAGGGCACTTGCCTTGCATGCAGCCAACCCAGGTTCAATTTCTGGTGCCCCCTTATGGTCCCCGAGTCTTACCAGGAGTGTGCCCAGAGCACAGAGCCAAGAGTAAGCCCTGAGCACCGCTGGGAGTAGCTGCCAAACCAAAGTTAGTTTTCTTCAAAAAGCACTTAAAACACAAACCCCACATGTTAAACTAGACTTAACTGCTTTTAAACTTTGTTATCACGGTCTCTTTTCATTCGGTCATTGCCACACTGCTAAATTTCCCAAAACACAGACCCCAGGAGGCTATTGTGATCCCATGACATTATTTGAGTCTAAGCAGGTCACGCCCATAGCCCCACAGAGACATGTATTTTGTTTTTCTTTTCTTAAGCCTATCAGCAGAAAGAAAACCTATAAAAACTGCAAAAACTCAAGCCCTTGGTGAACATCTTTATGCCATTGTCTGGGGCCGAGACCCGGGCTGCCTCCCTGGAAACACCCCAGGAGGTAGTTGAAGTCCCACCAGGAAGCAGGCTGGTGGCAGAAGATACCAGGGGATGGGTTTGGTTCCGTCTGAGGAAGTTTTGGGGAAAAGTGTGAGTGATATTTTTTTTCCCCCTTTCTCTTCCAGTTCCCTTGTGAAAGATGTGTCGCCTATGCCTCTGATTGACGTTACAAACCTGCCCACATCTCGAACATTCCTGGATGGGTCTCAGTTCTCTACTTCCGGAAGCTCAAGTGGTAAGTTCTTTCATGTCGTCTCTTTGCCTCGCTTTGCCTATAAGCAGTGCCCAGGGGGCCCAGAGTTCCCTCCTGACAATTTCTGGCCAACCAGGCCATGGAGGGGCCTGAGGCCATAGCACTGAGTGTTCCCAGAGCCACCCAGGAGAGATGAGTTTTCAGCCCCTGAACTTTCTGAGATGCTGCAGTTCCTGAGACAAGGGTCTGGGATACCTGTGGGGTTGCTGGTGGTCCCGAGGCATGTGTTCCAGTGCTCCACACGAGAGCACTGGTACCTTCACCTCTGTTCAGCCTTGTCGGTCACAGAGAATGAGACAGATGCAGTGACTGTCCACGGAGTGGGGTGGCCTGAGCAGCCCTTACTTAGGGGTTGCCTGGCCTTTTTATTTAGCCTCTTCCTCCTGGCTCTGAACAGGTATACCATTGTTTACAAGCTAACACACTCCTTAGGATCTGAGGCTGGAATAGTTTACATGGCTGTGGCCCTGGGGCGGCTCCCGAAGGTACCTGTACCTTTATTTATTTATCCATTTTTAAATTTAATGAATCACCGTGAAATACCATTACAGACTTACACAATTTCACGATTGTGTTTCAGTCAAACAATGTTCGCGTACCCGTCCCTCCACCAGTGCCCATTCTCCAGCACCCATGTTCCCAGTGTCCCTCCCACCACCCCAGAGTCTGGAAAAAACCCGAGTGCCTGAGAACAGTTGACTGGTTAAAGAAACTTTGTTATATCTACACAGCGGAATACTATGCGGCTGTTAGGAAAGATGAAATCATGAAATTTGCATGTAAGTGGATCAACATGGAGAGTGTCATGCTAAGTGAAATGAGTCAGAAAGCGAGGGACAGACATAGAAGGACTTCCATGTGTGGAATATAAAGTAACCTAAGAGGAGACTAATACCTAAGGACAGTAGAAACCCAGGCTTACTGGGTTCTTATCTCGCCTTGCAGAAAAGAATGTCAGAAGTGGACAAGTAGCAAAGTAGAACAGATTTTATTCAGAGGTTTTTGAAGGGGAAGAGGAAGAGAAAATGGGAGAGAGTGGAGAGTGTTCAAGAGAGAAACTGGGCTTTTTCCAAGGGCGGAGAGAAACCTTACACATATCCCAGCATTAGACATGAAAGCATGAAAGGACACATCTTGAGGGGAGATGTGAGTGACACATGTGCTCAGCACCACATATGCTCAGCCACATGGACACAAGCAGCACATGGGCTCAGACAGCATATGTGCATCCTTCCTTTGTTCAAGTTGGCTTTTGTAGGGTTTCTCGAACCTGCCCCCCTATGGGACTTCAATCTAGGTAATAATTCCTTGCTAAGGTGGTTACCAAGGGTTGGGAGTTGTGATGGTCTTCTTTGAAATTCCTTTCCTGGACTTCTGTTTCTACTGAATCATCTCTGGGTCAGTTTTAGGCACCAGATGAGGGTCTTATCAGGCCTTAGTTCCTGTTTTCTACAAGGTTGGCCTTCACAACTTAAGGGCAATTACTTCCCAGGAAATTTACTGCCATCACCTGGGGAGGGGGCCTTCCCTAGCTGCCTGCCTGCCCATATCAGTGCCAGGGGTTGAACTTGGGGCTGCGTGTGTGCCAGGCATGGGAGCGATCCCCCCGCTCCGGCCTTCCCCTGTAGCTTTCCCCTAGCTATTTTATGAGTCGTGTTCCATACCTGGACCTTGAGAGCTTTTCTGTGTATGTATAACCGCCCTCCTGTGTCCTCCTTCCTTATAGCGTCATGGCCTCTCCTCCAGATTTGTTTGTGTATGTGGAGGCAGGTGCGTGCACATGGGCGTGCACACAAAAATGCACACACGCACACAAAAGACACTTGGAGGACCCAGCCACAATCGCGTGGCTTTGTGGACTGCTTTGAATCTGGATGCAAAGATTTAGTTGGAGGTTGCTTAGCCGGGACTGGAGTGATAGCACAGCAGGTAGGGCATTTGCCTTGCACGCAGCCAGCCCAGCCAAGCCGGGTTTGATTCCTCCACCCCTTTGCATGAGCCCGGCAAGCTGCCGAGAGTATCTCACCCACATGGCAAAGCCTGGCAAGCTACCCGTGACGTATTCAATATGCCAAACACAGTAACAGCAAGTCGCAAAATGGAGATGTTACTGGGCCCGCTCGAGCAAATCGATGAACAACGGGAGGACAATGCTATAGTGCTTAGCCAGAGGTCACTCGGTTTGGCCCAGCTTAGAGAACGTCCCTGCCGACTCTGGGCTTGGGAGCAGTGGGTGGAGGGCTGGAGTGCCTTTGTGGGACAGCCAAAACTGTCCAGGTCTTTTAGAAAAATAGTAAGGTTGATTGTTGTTGACTTTCTGAGGAAAAGAGTTTTAGTGGTTCTTGCTGGTCCTATAGTCTTGAATTAATGAAAAGGTGAAAAAAAAAAAAAGAAAATGCTGTGGATCCAATCAATATATTTTGTGTAACTAATTGAAAGTGTTTCTTTTGAGTGCCTAACAATATTGTTGCTGGGGCATATTTAATTACCTTTTAAAATATTTAATTAAAAGTTAAGGTTATTTAGGCTTGGAGTCTTGAAGTTTATTGGTTTTACTGTGGGGAGTGGAGGAATTATTTTATAATAGATTTTTTTTTTTTTTGCTGTTAGTCTCCTTAGCACTTACTTTTATTATGACACTTGACAAAGGTTTGTGCCCAAGCCTTTTCCAGGAGTTAAAAGATTGAAGATTTATTTTTTTTCCCTTTTTCTGAGTCACTGTTGCTTTTCATTTATTTACTTATCTATTTATTTACTTTTAGGTTTTGACTTGGTCTGTTGCAGAGTTTGGGATTATGGTACAGAAAATATTTATACTTTTGATTTGTATCTATCTTCCACGGGAATTACCCATTGTTACTTACATCTTTGTGTTTCGCAGTGCAAATCAATCATTGCTTTGCCGGTTACATCAATTTACTTAAACGGTGCCAAGTCAATGGCCAGGCGAAATAAAAGTTTTAATTGTTTATAAAGAGATGATAGGTTTACAAAAGTGCCTGATCAGTATCCAATAAGCTCCAAAATGCCAGTTCTGGCAGATTTTTAGTACAAACGAGTTCTGCTCCATCTATTCATTTTCATAAGATGCTTTTCCTGTTTGATGGGCACTTCCTCCGTCAGGGCCTGTGATCTGCATTTGTCACAGAGCGCCCCGCACGGTGACCCTCTGACCTTGGCCTCTCTTCCTCCATGACCCAACTGTGACAGAGACTCGGGGTTGTTCCCTGCTGCTGCTGCCGCCATTCCGGAAGGTGCTTCCCCTATGGTTTTTGAGACTGTTGATCTCAGGCGCTCTCCGTGGGTGACTGAACACGCAGATAGTTAAAAAATGTTCTTGAATGAAGTCAGTAGCTGCAGAACCTAATGTATTTCGTGCCTATTACATGTCAGACAGTATAGAAGTGACACCCGTGTGGGCGGGGTCGTGTGTGGGTCGTGTGTGTCCATGTGGGATAAGAGCTTGACCAACAAATACACCACCAGACTCATCTTGGAACAGTCTCAGAGGAAAATGCCATTGGCCTCCTTTGACAGGGGAGGAAATCGAGGCATCCATCACTAAGCATTGGTTGAAGACATACAGCTCACAAGTAGGAGAGTTATGATTTCAGGTCAGCCACTGGGTTCTGGCGCATACTATTCTAATTAGCTGGTTTTCCTGAAGATAACTGAACTGGGCTTTGTGTTTGTTTTCTGTCCCTGCTGTCCTGCGTGACAGCGTGCAGAGAGTCTTCTGGGCTGGGCGGTTCCTAGTGTGCTTGGCGTCTCCTCGGGCTGACCTGAACTTCTGGGGATGTGGTCTTTCTGGAGACTCGGAAGAAGAATCCATCTCCTTGCCTTTCCTACTTCTGGAACCTTTGCTGCCTTTGGCTAACTGCCGCCTCCCTCCACCTTCACAACCAGTGCTGGTGGTTCTGACCCACTCTTCGGCCTCCTCCTTCTGCTCTCTGGGACCCAGGTGCTAAAGCGCCATCCTCTTAGATAATTCAGGACTTAGTCCTCTCTGTCAAGTCTCCTTGACCACAGAAGGGAGCTTTCACAGAGGCCTCCAGGACACGGATATCTTTGGGGAGGCATTGCCCTGCTTACGCTCTGCACAGCTGCTTTTCAACCCAGCTGAAGTTATCTAATTCATATGTGAAAATTTGACGTTCTTGAAGTTATCTGTAGAGTCTTAAGTCATTGCAGTTCTGGTCCTTCAGGACCATATTAATGTGGTCATTTCATTAAAATGAGGAAGGTGAAAACTGTGTAGAGAACTGCATAAAATGTTACTAAGTACATTTAGAAATACATAAAATACACATATAAAAAGTCTGGTGCTGAGGAGATTTCTTGTAATAAAGGGTAAAAGTTCTGTCCTCTTCTCATTAATGAATAGTATGCCCTGACGATCTTATTTGTGAATCAGCCTACAAAGAAATATTCATTTCTCCAGAGAATTTAAGCACGGGCTCTCAAAGCGCCCCTCACCTTGGGAAATAGGAGGATTGAGGGTATAATCTATTAGAACTGACATTTTTATAGATGAAGTTCCAATAGGGAACCTCTGGGTAGACCAGATCTCCCATAGGGGTGCCATAAATTAAGGTTAGAGGTGATTCTGAGAACTTTCAGATTATTATTAATTAAATGAGAATTTTGATTGCTTGCAAATGAGTCATTTTTCAAATGTCTTATTTAGAGGTAGAGTCATGAGTGGCTTTTTATGAGAGACTTTTTAACCAGTTTACATGTTAGAATTTGCAAAGTGCATTGTAGCATTCAACTGATATAATAATCCTATGATACTATGAGTTACTTAGGGCTACTGCTAATAATATTATCATTATGATTATCATATCTGTTGTATATGTCTCATCAAATATTTAAATGATAAAATATATATAGTTATGTGTGTGCATTATCTAATTAAAACAAACCATTTAATTATAAATGGCAAAATCAAAGCAGATTGATGCAAGCAACCCATTAACAGA